TACCTCTCCATTACGTGGGGGGGGACGGACAGAGACAGACAATTAGGAGAGACCAATAGTGCCAGGGGGTAGAGCAAGGGGCAGGGGAGAGGGGGAAGGGGGAGAGAGAGGAGGGGTGTCACTGGACAACCCCTCCATTGTGGTTATAGGTGGGAAGGAAGGACCAAAAACACCAGGGGAGGGAACAAGGAGGGAGAGGGAGAGGAGGAGGAAGGAATACAGCTCCCAGCACAGGATATAAAGAGTGGCTCCTCCGGCTGCACTGGGAATGTGAGAGGGTCAATTATTAAAAGGCATGTGGCAAGTGAAATGGTGTGTGTGTGGGGGGGGGTAACTAAAGTAGAGTGGGAGGCTCAGGCGCCAAATGAGATGCCAGAGGGGGCATGGCACGGGTAGAGGAGAGGGGAATGTAGCCTGTGAGAAGGGGCCTGCTCAAGAAAGCAGGAGGGCAGCAAGATACTTCAGGCTGGAGAGGGGGGAAGGAAGCGAGTGTGCCCACGGGCACCTGAGTGGCAGGCTTACTGCACCTGCTGCAGGACCCACCAGAGCAAGGGAGGGGTGGGGAGGCAAGCAGGGGGGCCAAGGATGGAGATGGCCCCTGCAGCAACAGGGAGGGAGCAGCAACAGAGATGCTGGGGAGACGGGGGGGCAGAGGGAGCCCCCCCCCAGCCCCAGCACCCCACAAAAGTTGTACCAGCTGCCACCTCAGGGCCCAGATGGCAGGAGGCCCCTCACAAACACTCCCCCTCCCCCCACAAACTTGTGGAGGGGAAGGAAGACCCCCAGGAGCTGCTGTAAAGCAGCCCCCTTACCTCCTCCACTCCAGAGGGCATGGCAGTTGCAGGAAGGGTGAAGTCCAGGCCTGCAGCAGTGAAGAAAGGGGTCAGGCAGTCCCCAAAAAGTTGGAAGGGGGGGGGTCCCATCTCCCCCACCAGGGTGAGAGCAGCAAAGGCCCCCCTATCCACTCCCACACTCCCAGCAGCTCCTGCAGCCAGGTGGGTGGTGGGGAAGATTGGCTGCAAACAGAGCAGGCAGAGAGAAAAGGGGACCTGGCCCAGAATGTAGCCAGGGCTTTTGCCCGAACGGGAGCAGCATAGCATTTCCGCAAGCAGCACTGATTTCTTACAGCAGGAAGTCAGTGTTCTTGTGGAAATTCAAGCGGCCAGTGTAGACAGCTGGCAAGTTTTTCCGCAAAAGCAATCTAGACACAGCCAAAGCGTAATTTCAAATAACTGACGTCTCAGGCATGTGCATCCTGCTTTGTAGGACACAGGAATCAGATCATAGTCTTCAAACAGGTGATTTCATTAACAAACCAAAGAAGATGTATTTGGGAAAGCAGACTTGGTTGCTAGGCGTTAAAAGCAACTGAGAAAACAGATCAGAGCACAGACAATTGCTTCTCTGGGATTTAGGGTCAGTTAACAGTATACGGTGGGGGCGGGGAAGGGAGACATGGGCTCAGCAGAGTTCAAAAACCAAAAATAATGAAAAAAAACCTTATCTTGTCTCAAAGAGAACCTGATTGCATCTAACTGCACATTCCCTATCTACTCACATTTCTTGTTCTCAGGTTCTGTCCTTTGTAGACATGAAAATGGCTGGACATTCCATGTCCATCTCCCAAGGTTTACTTAGTTTTTACCCAGCTTTTTTCCTCTAAAACCACACACAGAACTGCAGCAGGCACATGCCTGCTATCAGTTTAGATCTTACACTTTCTGCCCATTGGTTCTCCTGGCTCCCTGCCAACACTTCCTGGATACCCACTGTTCTGGATTTAACCCCTTTAGGGTACATCTGCTTAACTTGAAATAAGAGCTTAACTTGAAATAAGCTACACAAATTCAGCTACGTCAAGTGTGTAGCTTATTTCAAAATAGCTTATTTCACAATTGGGAGCATCTACAAAGCACTTATTTCGAAATAGAGCACTCTTCCACCGACTTCCTTTACTCCTAGTACAATGAGGGTTACAGGAGGAAGAATAATGGGTCCTTCAGCTTGACAGTATTTTGACATTGTTTTGAAATAACTGCCTGCTGTGTAGACACATACCAAGTTATTTTGAAATAACGCTACTGTTTAGACATACCCTTAGTTACTGAATGCTGGTTGATTAGTACTCCGCATGCATAGTGTCTCAGACTCAGACTTCAAGGTCAGAAGGGACCATTATGATCATCTAGTCTGACCCCTTGCACAGTGCAGGCCACAAAATCTCACCCACCCCTCCTGGAATAATCCTCTCACCTAGATCTCAGATATTGAAGCCTTCAAATACTTTGAAGTCCCCAAGATGCAGAGAATCCTCCAGCTGTAGCATGGGGTACAGATCACAGAGGAAGGCAAAAAACCTCCAGGGCCTCTGCCAATCTACCCTGGAGGAAAATTCCTTCCTGACCCCAAATATGGCGATCAGCTAAACCCTGAGCATGTGGGCAAGACTCACCAGCCAGACACCCAGAAAGTTCTCTATAGTAACTCCTATCATCCCTCTATAAACAGTCATGCACCCATCTGATAGTAGTAATTAGGTAGGTAGGGCATGATTTGTTCCTCACAGATCCATATTAGCTATGACGCATTACTTTATTATTCTTCAGGTGCTTTCAGACTGTTCAATTATTTTGTTCCATTATCTTCTGAAGCATCGAAGTTGAGCTGGTTGGTCCAGAATGCGTCACGTCCTTTTTGTTCCGCATTTTCAAAGATAGGTGAAAGGTTTGCCCTTCTCTCGTCTTCTCAGACCTCACCAGACCTTTATGAGTTCTCTATAAAAACATGAATAGTTCTGAGATTGGCTCAGCCAGTTCCTTAGGTTCTGTCGGGTGACTCTCACCAGGCGCTGTGGGTTTAACACACCTACCTTGTTTTATCTCTTTGGCTTCTGCTCTTTTCTTTAGCTGTGGGACCATTAATGACACCAGACCTGGATCCCTCAGCACCATCTGCTGCAACGGGCTGGAGGGCCGCTATGTGACCATCGTCATCCCGGGCAGGGCGGAGTATCTCTCCCTGTGTGAGGTTGAGGTTCTATCTCAGAGCTGTATCCCACCACAATGGGGTAAGGAGCTGGCACAATGGGAATAGAAACTTGTTCCCTTTCATGTCACACCCCAGTCTCTTCTGCACCAGCCTCTGCCTAGTGAGGCAGCAGAAACCCTGGGATCTCTTCCCTTCCCACTGCTCCCCTAGACGTGAGCTACAGCTGGCGGGGGCAGGTGTAGGAGGCTTCATGTGAACATCGTGCTCCATCCCTGCCTTGGGGAGTGTCTCGTGTGAGGGAGGGGATGTGGTGGGCTGACAGAGACTCTCTGGGATGAGACCCAGGCACCAACCTGCTGTCAGCATCGTCCTGCTCCCCTCACTCCTATTCCCAGGGTCCCAGCTACCAGCATGAACCTGGCTCTCACATGGTGCCCGGTTTGTGTGTCACTGCCAGGAAGCAGCTCTGGCTCCGTTGCAGGAGGGGGCTTTGGGACTTCCCCCTCTTATGCCCCCAGTGACGGGCATCTCTCTGCTCCCCTCTTCTTGCCCTCTGATTCCAGCTCAGAACTTGGCGCTGCGACGTCCGGTCACTCAGTCGTCCACGTACGAGGACAGCCTTGGAGAAGCCGTGGCTAGCAAGGCCGTGGATGGAAACCGTGAAGGGGCGTGGGATCGAGGCTCGTGCAGCCACACCCTGTACGACACAGATCCCTGGTGGAGTGTGGACTTGGGCCGCCGGCATTCCGTCTCCATGGTGATCGTGAAGAACAGGGAAGAGTGCTGTTGGGAGAGGCTGCAGGGGGCCCAGATCCGCGTGGGAGACTCCCTGGCCAACCACGGCAAGGACAACCCCCTGTGAGTTGCTTCCCCCTTGTCTGCGGTGAGATGACTCCTGCCAGCTCAGGCTCAGAGCTTGGGTCTCATTGCCAGCCAGGGCCATGGTGCGGCCTCTTCCCCTCCGAGCTGCCTGAGGCTGGGAGTGCTTTGCAGGGGCATGGCTATGGGTGAGCCTGGGTGGGGTTCAGCCCCACCCGTTTGGCTTACAAACACACCCCAAAACTGAGCTGTAGCGCAAGTGAGGGGGGGCAAGTGCATGACGCCCCTTCCACTCTACGGCTCATCCCCCCCTTTGACTCCATCCCTGCCTGATACCTTCCTTTCCTGACCTGCTGCTTCCTGCCCCGTTTCGCCCCTTTCTCTAGACATGTTACGCCCTCCACCCCAAGACTTTCTGCCCCTGCTCCTCATGGGCAGCAGGTGAACTGACTATCAGGAGGCTAGTTCCAGGCTCCTCCCCTTCCCGCTACGGTCACATCCCTCTCCCTCCGCCACGACAACCCAGAGCATCCCGACCTCGTCTGCCCGCCCCAGCGGCCTCAGCGCCTCCAGTCCAGGAATCCTGAGCAGGCACCAACCCCAGCCTGCCCAAGTCCCATGTGGCAGGTCGTCTGGTCGCACCAGCCCCAGCCTGGGCCACAAACAGTGGGAAGGGACGGGGAGCTGAGGCCCACATGGGGGTGCAGCGTGGGCATGGCCACACCAGACTGTGTGGGGATGCTCGTCCCCGCCCCCAACACTGTTCTAGTCCCCCTCATCCTCCTGCCCCTCCCCTCCAGGGGCAACTGGAACCAGGGAGGGAGCCGCCCTCCTCTCTCCTGTCCCCTTCCTGCACCTCCCAGCATGGCCCCCCCACCTGAAGGTCAGGCCCCGCCCAGATTTCCCCTCCTAGCTGCGCCCCGGCAGTTGTGATCTGAGCTCTGGGCGGGAAGGGAATTGCATGGCACTGAGCACAGCGCCCCCTGCTGGGCCGTGCAGGGTGGCGCTGTCGCTCTCCAGCCCCTGCGTGTTCTGTCTCTGCCCTCACCGCCGTTCTCCTGAATCCTCGCACTCATAGCTCCCCCTTTTGGAGCGTCTTCCCCTCCCGGACACCTTGCCTTTCCTGGGGTGCCCCTGAAACAAAAGAAGCAAAAGAAAGTATTTCTCTTCAGAGTCAACCTGTGGAACTCCTTGCCAGAGGACACTGTGAAGTCCAGAGCTATAGCAGAGTTTAGAGAGAAGCTAGGTAATTTCATAGAGATTAGGTCCATAAAAGGCTATTAGCCAGGGGATAAAATGGTGTCCTTGGCCTCTGTTTGTCAGAGGCTGGACTGTGAAGTCCAGAGCTATAGCAGAGTTTAGAAAAGAACTAAATATGTTCATGGAGAATAGGTGCCTCAATGTCTGTTAGCCCATGTGGCCAGAGATCCAGCACCGTGTTCTGCACGGCCCTCACTGCTGTGTCCCAGAGACCGGGAAAGGGTGAGGGGGTGAATCACTCAATTGTTGCCTCTTGTGGTCAATGCCAGGTGCTCTTAGCCAGGATGGGTAAGAATGGTCTAATGTTTGTCTTTCCCTTATATGGGAAAAACTTTAAAACCAACCAATAGTCTAGTGTAGCACCTTAAAGACTAACAAAACATGCCAACGGGATCAGGAGCTCTCGTGGGCACTGCTCACTTCCTCAGCTGGCTGGAGTCTCTATGGGGAAGAATTAATGGAGACAAATCAGATCTCCAAAAAGGCAATACACAAAAACCTGTAGGAGAACACTTTCACCTGCCTGGGCACTCATTAATGGATCTCCAAGTCACCGTGTTGTTTTAGGCCAATTCCACAAGCCAAATACACACAGAAGGGTTGGAACTTAACTTCGTTCACAAGTTTAATTCTTCTGCAAGTGGCATGAACCAGGATATGGTCTGGCTGGCACACGACCTTCCACATCCTAAGGACTTAACTAACCAGCCTAACAATGGAGGTGCTAATTGTTCTTCTCAGCCTCTTGCAACTATTTGAACCATCTACTCACTAGCTTCTTTCCTCCACTCCTTTTTTCTCTTTTTTCCCCCCTTCTCCCTCGCTTTCCCCTCTCCGTCCCCCCAGCCCTATTCCCTTCCTTTATTCTTGGATCTGGACTTAAATCATAGAATAATAGGACTGGAAGGGACCTCGAGAGGTCATCATGTCCAGTCCCCTGCCCTCATGGCAGGACCAAGCTCCGTCTACACCATCCCTGATAGACATTTATCTAACCTGCTCTTAAATATCTCCAGAGTTGGAGATTCCACAACCTCCCTGGGCAATTTATTCCAGTATTTGACCACCCTGGCAGTTAGGAACTTTTTCCTAATGTCCAACCTAAACCTCCCTTGCTGCAGTTTAAGCCCATTGCTTCTTGTTCTATCCTCAGAGAACAGGATGAACAAGTTTTCTCCCTCCTCCTTATGACATCCTTTTAAATACCTGAAAACAGCTCTCATGTCCCCCCTCAATCTTCTCTTTTCCAAAATAAACAAACCCAATTCTTTCAGCCTTCCTTCATAGGTCATGTTCTCTAGACCTTTAATCATTCTTGTTGCTCTTCTCTGAACCTTCTCCAATTTCTCCACATCCTTCTTGTAATGCGGTGCCCAGAACTGGACACAATACTCCAACTGAGGCCTAACCAGCACAGAGTAGAGTGGAAGAATGACTTCTAATACTCTAGTTATCTGAAGAAGTGGGTTGTGCCCACAAAAGCTCATGATACCATCTACATGTTTTGTTAGTCTTTAAGGTGCTACTAGACTATTTGTTGTTTTTTAAATTTTTCCTGTTGCAGACTAACTCAGCTACCCCTCTGAAATCTTACATGGAGTTAGAAATTTTCCTTCCTGGGAACAGCACTTTCCTTTATTGAATTTCTCCTTCTAGTTTTCAGGTGAATTCTCCACATTATCAAGACGCCGCTGTGCTCCTGCTCCTCCTCAGGGTCAGCAGGTGACCGGGTTAATGGGGGGGGCTAGCCCCAGGCTCCTCCCCCTCTGCCTGAGGACTCACCCCTCCTCTTTCGTCCCCTCCTCTGCCACAGCTCAGAACATCCCACCTCATCAGCCAGCTCCCATGGCCTCAGCACCTCCAATCCTGATTCCTGGGCAGGCACCTGCCTGCCCAAGGCCCATGTGGCAGGTCATCTGGTGGCATCAGCTGCAGCCTAGGCCACGTAGAGCAGGAAGGGATTGGGAGCTCAGGCCCTTCTGTGTGCACAGTGTAGGCAAGGCAACACCAAGTGATGTGGGTAGATTCAGCCCTCCCCCCCACATTATGATATTCACCCCATGAGCCATCCCCTCCCCTCCAGCACCCCCTGCATGCTGCAGAAGAGCTGAGAGCAGAGGGCGGGGGGGATGCAGGTGGTCGGGGAGGCGTCTGGGGGTGCTGAGCACTCACTGTATTTTCACTCCTCTTGTGCCTGCTGAGCAGCAAGGGGCAGGTGGAAGTGGGGAGGGAGCCGCCCTCCTCCCTCCTGTCCCCTTCCCGCGCCTCCCAGCATGGCCCCCCCACCTGAAGGTCAGGCCCCGCCCAGATTTCCCCTCCTAGCTGCGCCCCGGCAGTGGTGATCTGAGCTCTGGGCGGGAAGGGAATTGCATGGCACTGAGCACAGCGCCCCCTGCTGGGCCGTGCAGGGTGGCGCTGTCGCTCTCCAGCCCCTGCGTGTTCTGTCTCTGCCCTCACCGCCGTTCTCCTGAATCCTCGCACTCATAGCTCCCCCTTTTGGAGCGTCTTCCCCTCCCGGACACCTTGCCTTTCCTGGGGTGCCCCTGAAACAAAAGAAGCAAAAGAAAGTATTTCTCTTCAGAGTCAACCTGTGGAACTCCTTGCCAGAGGACACTGTGAAGTCCAGAGCTATAGCAGAGTTTAGAAAAGAACTAAATATGTTCATGGAGAATAGGTGCCTCAATGTCTGTTAGCCCATGTGGCCAGAGATCCAGCACCGTGTTCTGCACGGCCCTCACTGCTGTGTCCCAGAGACCGGGAAAGGGTGAGGGGGTGAATCACTCAATTGTTGCCTCTTGTGGTCAATGCCAGGTGCTCTTAGCCAGGATGGGTAAGAATGGTCTAATGTTTGTCTTTCCCTTATATGGGAAAAACTTTAAAACCAACCAATAGTCTAGTGTAGCACCTTAAAGACTAACAAAACATGCCAACGGGATCAGGAGCTCTCGTGGGCACTGCTCACTTCCTCAGCTGGCTGGAGTCTCTATGGGGAAGAATTAATGGAGACAAATCAGATCTCCAAAAAGGCAATACACAAAAACCTGTAGGAGAACACTTTCACCTGCCTGGGCACTCATTAATGGATCTCCAAGTCACCGTGTTGTTTTAGGCCAATTCCACAAGCCAAATACACACAGAAGGGTTGGAACTTAACTTCGTTCACAAGTTTAATTCTTCTGCAAGTGGCATGAACCAGGATATGGTCTGGCTGGCACACGACCTTCCACATCCTAAGGACTTAACTAACCAGCCTAACAATGGAGGTGCTAATTGTTCTTCTCAGCCTCTTGCAACTATTTGAACCATCTACTCACTAGCTTCTTTCCTCCACTCCTTTTTTCTCTTTTTTCCCCCCTTCTCCCTCGCTTTCCCCTCTCCGTCCCCCCAGCCCTATTCCCTTCCTTTATTCTTGGATCTGGACTTAAATCATAGAATAATAGGACTGGAAGGGACCTCGAGAGGTCATCATGTCCAGTCCCCTGCCCTCATGGCAGGACCAAGCTCCGTCTACACCATCCCTGATAGACATTTATCTAACCTGCTCTTAAATATCTCCAGAGTTGGAGATTCCACAACCTCCCTGGGCAATTTATTCCAGTATTTGACCACCCTGGCAGTTAGGAACTTTTTCCTAATGTCCAACCTAAACCTCCCTTGCTGCAGTTTAAGCCCATTGCTTCTTGTTCTATCCTCAGAGAACAGGATGAACAAGTTTTCTCCCTCCTCCTTATGACATCCTTTTAAATACCTGAAAACAGCTCTCATGTCCCCCCTCAATCTTCTCTTTTCCAAAATAAACAAACCCAATTCTTTCAGCCTTCCTTCATAGGTCATGTTCTCTAGACCTTTAATCATTCTTGTTGCTCTTCTCTGAACCTTCTCCAATTTCTCCACATCCTTCTTGTAATGCGGTGCCCAGAACTGGACACAATACTCCAACTGAGGCCTAACCAGCACAGAGTAGAGTGGAAGAATGACTTCTAATACTCTAGTTATCTGAAGAAGTGGGTTGTGCCCACAAAAGCTCATGATACCATCTACATGTTTTGTTAGTCTTTAAGGTGCTACTAGACTATTTGTTGTTTTTTAAATTTTTCCTGTTGCAGACTAACTCAGCTACCCCTCTGAAATCTTACATGGAGTTAGAAATTTTCCTTCCTGGGAACAGCACTTTCCTTTATTGAATTTCTCCTTCTAGTTTTCAGGTGAATTCTCCACATTATCAAGATGATTTTGCATTTTCATCCTTACTTCCAATGTTCTTACAACCCCTGCCAGCTTGGTTTCACCTGTACATTTTATAACTGTACTCTGTGTGCCAATGTCAAAGTCATGAATGAAAATATAGAACAGTACCCAACTATTCTCAGCGTGTTTTTTGTTTTTTGTTTTCAAACACTTGTGCACCCACCTGATCTCGAAGGCCTTTCCCTAGTTTGCTTATGACAAGTGTGTCGCTAGGGATTCTGTCAAAAGCCTTCCTAAAATGCTCCCCTCCTTCATCCATTAGGTTGATTAGTCTGTTAAAGAAGAACATTAAATCGGCATGGCATGAGCTGTTGTTTGCAAATCCACATCAGTCAGGACATATCACTGTAGTCTCCTCCCACTGCTCTCAGACTGTTTGATTATTTCAGTGTCTTATGAGGATTAGGAAAGTTAGATGTCAGCAAGTCACCAGGTCCTGATGAAATGCATCCCAGGATACTCAAGGAGCTGATAGAGGAGGTATCTGAGCCTTTAGCTATGATCTTTGAAAAATCATGGCAGACAGGGGAGATTCCAGAAGACTGGAAAAGGGCAAATATTGTGCCCATCTATAAAAAGGGGAATAAGAACAACCCAGGAAATTATAGACCGGTCAGTTTAACGTCTGTCCCAGGGAAGATAATGGAGCAGGTAATTAAGGAAATCATATGCAAACACTTGGAAGGTAATAAAGTGATAGGGAATAGCCAGCATGGGTTTGTGAAGAACAAGTCATGCCAAACTAATCTGATAGCTTTCTTTGATAGGATAACGAGCCTTGTGGATAAGGGAGAAGCGGTGGATGTCATATACCTAGACTTTAGTAAGGCATTTGATACGGTCTCGCATGATATTCTTATTGATAAACTAGGCAAATATAACTTAGATAGGGCCACGATAAGGTGGGTGCATAATTGGCTGGATAACCGTAGTCAGAGAGTTGTTGTTAACGGTTCTAAATCCTGCTGGAAAGGGATAACAAGTGGAGTTCCTCAAGGGTCTGTTTTGGGACCCGTACTGTTCAATATCTTCATCAATGATGTAGATATTGGGATAGAGAGTACTCTTATTAAGTTTGCAGATGATACCAAACTGGGTGGGGTTGCAACTTCTTTGGAGGATAGGGACATAATTCAAAATGACCTTAGCAAGTTAGAGAAATGGTCAGAGGTAAACAGGATGAGGTTTAATAAGGAGAAATGCAGAGTGCTCCACTTAGGAAGGAACAATCAGTTCCATACATACAAGATGGGAAGCGACTGTCTAGGAAGGAGCATGGCGGAAAGGGATCTAGGGGTCATAGTGGACCACAAGTTGAATATGAGTCAACAGTGTGATGCTGTTGCCAAAAAAGCAAATATGATTCTAGGTTGTATCAACAGGTGTGTTGTAAGCAAAACTCGTGAAGTCATTCTGCCGCTCTATTCTGCACTAGTTAGGCCTCAGCTGGAGTACTGTGTCCAGTTCTGGGCGCCACATTTCAAGAAAGATGTGGAGAAATTGGAAAGGGTACAGAGAAGAGTGACAAGAATGATTAAAGGTCTAGAGAGCATGACCTATGAAGCCAGGCTTCATGAACTGGGCTTGTTTAGTTTGGAAAAAAGAAGATTAAGGGGGGACATGATAGTGGTTTTCAAATATCTAAAAGGGTGTCACAAGGAGGAAGGAGAAAATTTGTTCCTCTTGGTTTCTGAGGACAGGACATGGAGTAATGGGCTTAAAGTGCAGCAGGGGAGGTTTAGATTGGACATTAGGAAAACATTCCTAACTGTCAGGGTGGTCAAATATTGGAATAAATTGCCAAGGGAGGTGGTGGAATCTCCCTCTCTGGAGATATTTAAGAACAGGTTAGATAGACATCTGTCAGGGATGGTGTAGACGGAGCTTGGTCCTGCCTTGAGGGCGGGGGGCTGGACTCGATGACCTCTTGAGGTCCCTTCCAGTCCTATGATTCTATGATTCTATGAAGCGCTGTGCGGTGAATTTCAGCAGGTGCTGCCATTTGAACACCCTCATCTTCTTTTGTCTTCTTGGCTTCTGCTCTTTCCTTTAGCTGCGGGACCATTAATGATATCGCTTCCGGATCCCTCAGCACCATCTGCTGCAACAGGCTGGAGGGCCGCTACGTCACCATCGTCATCCCGGGCAGGGAGGAGTATCTGACCCTGTGTGAGGTTGAGGTTCTGTCTCAGGGCTGTGTCCCACCACCAGGGGGTAAGAAGCCGGCACAATGTGACTGGAAACCTGTTCCCTTTCATGTTACACTCCAAACCCTTCTGCACCAGCCTTTGCCTAGTGAGGCAGCAGAAACCCTGGGAGACTCTTCCCTTCCCACTGCTCTCCGGGGTGTGGGCTGTAGCCGGCAGAGGCAGGTGTAGGAGGCTCCATGTGAACATCGAGTCCCATCCCTGCCTTGGGGAAAATCATTTGCTGGGTATGGGGCTGAGAGGCGCTCTCTCTGGGCTGAAACCCCAGCACCAGCCTTTTCTCACTCCCATTCCCTAGGTCTCTAGCTCCCACTGAGAATCTGGCTCTGTCATGGTGCCTGGTTTGTGTGTCCCTGCCAGGAGGCGGCTCTGGCTCCGTGTTGGACAAAGGTCTTGTAGAGCCCCACCCTTTCCGGCAACGGGCACGTCCCACCTCCCCTCTTCTTGCCCTCTGATTCCAGCTCAGAACCTGGCGCTGGGACGTCCGGCCACTCAGTCATCCACATTCGTGGATAAGCTTGGAAGAGCCGTGGCTGGAAGAGCCGTGGATGGGAAACGCAATGGGAAGTGGGAAGAAGGCTCCTGCAGCCACACCCATTTCGAAACGGAGCCCTGGTGGAACGTGGACTTGGGCAGCCGGCAGTCCATCTCCGTGGTGATCGTGAAGCACAGAGAAGATGAGTGCTGCGGGGGGAAACTGAAAGGGGCCCAGATCCACGTGGGAGACTCCCTGGTGAACTTTGGCAAGAACAACCCCCTGTGAGTTGCTTCCCCCTTGTCTGCGGCGAGATGGGTCCCATTGCCAGCCGGGGCCAGGGTACGGCATTTTCACCTCTTAGCTGCCTGTGGCTGTGAGTGCTTTACGGGTGGTGCGGGGCATAAACGCAGGTAGGGCCGGCTGGGGCATGGCCCTCCCATTTGGCCCACCCAAGTCTGCCCAGTAGGGCTCCGTTCCGCCCATACAGGTAACCAGAAAGGGGAAGCCACCCCAAAAGGCCATGTTTTCTATTTCCCCATGCTGAGGCTGGACCAAGGAATCCTAGACCAGAGCGCAAACCATGGCAGCTGCTCTCCAGAGCCGCATGGCGTTACTGTGTGATCTGGAGAACCTGCCATTGCCAGGCAAGGGATTTCTGCAGGGAGCAGCTCCCCCTTAGGAACTTGGCACTTGTAGGCCCTCCCTCTGGATCCTCTTCCCTCCCACACACCTCTCCTAGGTTGCCTTTCCCGGGGCACTCCCTGAGCAAAAGAAATAAAAGAAACTATTTCTTCACTGTCAACCTGTGGAACTCTTTGCCAGAGGATACTGTGAAGGCCAAAACTGTAACAAGGTTCAAAAAAGAACTAGATCAGTTCATGGAGAATAGGTCCCTCGGTGGCTATTAGCCTATGTGGCCGGAGATCCAGCACCATGTTCTGCACGTCCCTCTCCTCTGTTTGCCAGAGGCTGGGAAAGGGTGATGGGATGAATCACACAATGATTGCCTCTTGTGCACATTCCCTATGGGGTACTTGGCATTGGCCGCTGTCAGCAGATAGGACACCAGGCTAGATAGCCCTGTGGTCTGACCCAGTCTGGTAGTTCTGAGGTTCTTACATCCAACTCGGATGTATTTACCCCTGCTACCCACTGCCCTCCCTGAGCTGAGATAGAGCCCAGGAGTTCTAATGGGGTCTTTCCCCTCCGCAGAGTTAATTAAAAAAAGGAAGTATATATAGTAGAATTTGAGACCCCACAGTATCCCATAAGTGACTTGCCACAAGGCACCAGAATATGTTTCAGAGCTGAGTGGATCTAATATCTCTTTCCTTTACATGGGAGTTAGACAATTCTCCACATTATCAAGATGATTTTGCATTTTCTTCCTTTCTCCTCTTGCATAAAAAAGCCTTCGCCTGAGCTTACTTGATTTTATACATGCATTTTCTGAAAATACACTAACTGTAAGGTCTAAGGTTTAAACACTGCAACTCATTGTAATCTTTGTCAAACTTTGCAACTTTGTAACTCTCAGCAACATTGCTTTATAAGTTCAGAAACTTACTGTAAGCTACAACTTTGTAATCTTTGTAACGCTCAGCCACCTTGCTTATAACTTGCTCTAAACTGCATTCTCCCCTGAGTGAATGAAGAGAGGGGTGTGTGTGTGTGTGTGTGTGTGTTTGAAGTTGCAAGGCTGAGGCTGGAGCACATGATGATGAGTCATCAGAGACTGCTGCTTTGCTGGATAAAGGGAAGTCTGGGCATGCTCCCTGGCGAGGAGGTGGATGAGTCACAGGAGCCATTCAGACACAATATACGGAGAGAGAGCACATGGCCAAAGTCTCTTTTTCTTCCCCTGCTCCTGAGAAACTCCTCTCTACAGCCAGTGTCTCTCCTCCTCACCAGTTCCCCAGCCATGATCCGCAGACAGACCCTTCAGGATCCACATGTCTTGGCTCCTTCTGTAACCCATATGCCTGTGGGAGTGCCCGAGGGCAGGAATGAATGAATATTTGAGAGAGAGAGAGACCCACCCACACCCCGTTTAGTTAAAACTTTGGGTGGCAGCTCTATTTTCTTTAGTGGCAATAAACCCATACCCGTGTACCCCTGGGTAGTTTCCAGTGGGAATGTGTTGGGGTAACAACTCCCAATGCTCTTACAACCCCTCCCAGCTTGGTTTCACCTGCACATTTTATAACCCTACTATGGGCACCAATGTCAAAGTTATTAATGAAAATATAGAACAATACCCAACACAGGACAGATCCCTGAAACTTCCTTGCTTCCAGACACAGCATCAACTGTTGTTAACTACTCTCAACATGTGTTTTTTTTCTCAAAACACTTGT